TGATGTGCTTGATTGAAAAATAAGGAAATATCTGAATTAAGAAATTTGCACAAGAGACTTTTAAAAATATTTATTATTGTAACAGTGAATGAAACTATTATGTATATTTAGAAAATGTTAAATAAACTTAAAAATAATTTCATATGGAAACTGTATTACACAATATATAAGTCAAAATAAGTACATAGAGGACATTGATATATAACATTGAAGCAAATATAGGAGTAGGGACAAAGAAACTAAGCCAGGTAACTCTTCTATTCTTTTTTACATGTTAATTTTAAATATTATATCCACAAAGAAATGCAAAATGCTGATAATTAATAATTAATATTAGAAACTTTGAAATTTTACTTTTTGTGAAATGTAGTGTTCTTTTAACCTGAGGCTATAACATAGGGAATATAATAATTATAAATAAAAGGAATACTACAAGTGTATTTAGCAGCTGCTTGAAATAGGCTCAAAATCCTCATTTTATAGAACAATTTGCACCATCGCACTTATTTAAGCAGCTCTCAGAACTATGTTATAATATTCTGGTTCTAAAGTAAATCCTCAGTATTGGGACACTGAAGTTGAAACCTTTTAGATATTCTAATTATTGCCTTCCTATTAAACCCATGTTACTGTAATATTTTAAAATATGATCTGTTAGTTAAACAGACAATGTTAAGGCAAGAAATATTGAGGCTATCAGGTGGCATTGTAGTTAGGGCACTGGTCACCCACATGGCCAACCATGGTTTGAGTCCCAGACCTGGAAGCTTGCTTTCTCACTTTCCTTCTCTCTCTCTCTCTCTCTCTCTCTCTCTCTCTGTCTGGTGAGTGCACATACCCTATAGCAAAATTTAAAATAATAATAAATAATAAGCAAAAGTTAAATAAATAATAGTTTTTATAAAAAGCAAGAAATATTTCTAAAGATAAAAGTAAAAATATTTATATAATATGGTCACTTACATATTAAGAAACACAAGTTATTCATATATGTCTGTATATTCATTATAAAACACCAACAGATATAAGGCAAAGATCCACAAGATAAGAAGAAAAATAGACAAATCCACAATTGCAGGAGGAGATATTTACAAAGAGGGTAATTTCTGGTTTTCATATAATTGTTGCACATCTTTTAGTGGTAAAGTATGAATTTTTAAAGAGGTATACAGTTTGTAATAATCAAATTAAGGATGCATGCATTCTGGTGTTTGTTAATATTTTTTTCCCATTCCACTCCACATCCCAGTACAACCTTTAGTATCTGCACTTATTCTACTTGAATGCTATCAAGTCCTAAGTTTCCATGACAGAGTGAGAATACTTGATAAATGTCAAACTGGGACATATATTATTTTTCTTTTCTAGCCTGATTTATTTCTCTTAGCATTAAATCTTCTGAGTTCATTTATTTCAGGTCAAATGCCAGAAGACCATTGTCCTTTATGACTGAGTAGTATTCCATTATGTACATGTGCCACATATTCTTTATCCATTTATCAGTTGTTGGACACTTAGATTAATCCATGTATTAGCCATTGTAAATATTACTGCCATAAGCATGGAGGTGGAAATGTTTCTTTGAGAGAGTGATTTCCTGTCCTTGGAATGTATATCCAATAGTAGAATTACTGAGTCAAATGGTAATTCTATTTTCAGATTTATTTGAACACCCTATACTGTATTCTACAATTGCTGTACATTCTCACCAGCAGTGTAATAACTTGTCTTTTTCTTTATCTTTTTCTGTATCTTCATGAAAAATTATTATTCTTTTGTTGGTGGGGAGAGGATGGTAGTCATTTTGACTGGAGTTAGGTGCTACCTCATTGTGGATTTCATTTGTGCCCTATGATAAGAGACATTGTCATTTTTTTTTTTCATATGTCTTTTAGCCATTTGTATCTCTTCTTTTGAGAATAATCTGTTTACATCAATTGCTCATTTTTAATTTGGATCATTAGTTGTTTTGCAGGTGATCTAATTGAGTTCCTTGTACATTCTGGTTATCAACCCTTTATCAGAAGTATAGTTTGCAAGTTATTTTCCCATTCTGTGAGTTGTCTATTTATTGTTTGTTTTGGTGTGTGAAAACTTTTTAGCAGTGATATAATCCTGCTTGTCTATTTTTAGGGTTATTACCTGTGCTTTAGGGCTCTTAAGAAATCTCTGATAGTCAAAATTTGTGCAGTGATTCCCCTGTGCTTTCCTCAAGCAGTTTTAATGATGAGGAACAAGGGTTTAGTATTATTCTCCTGCAGGTGAAAGTCCAGTTTTTCCAGCAGCATTTATTGAAAACAGTCTTGTCTCCCTTGGATTTTCTTGGGATCCTTGTCAAACAATCAGTTGACAGTTGTTGAAATTATGTTTTGATACTTTGTTTGGTTCCATTGCCTTATGTGTCTGTTTCTGTGCCAGAAAGTTATTTTAATTATTATCTCTTTGTAATATATTGTAATGTATTTTTGAAGTCAGTTAATAAGATGCTCCAACTTTATTCTTTTTGGTCAACCTTGCTTTTGCAATATGGAGCCCAGAGAAATGTAATGATTATATTTCTGTGAAAAATATCACTAGTATTTTTATAAGAATTACGTTGAATTTGTAGATTAGTTTCAGTAAATATCAACATTTTAACTATATGGATTCTTCCTATTCATGAACATAAGATATCTTTTCATTGCTTTGTATCTTTTCTTACTTTCTTTCTTCAGCTTTTTGCAGTTTTCTTTGTGGGAATCTTAGTTCCTTAGATTTTTTCCTGGTTATGTTAATTTTTTGAGGCAATTGTAAATGCATTTACTTTGTCTCAG